GATCTCCTGGAGAAAGTATGAAGATCCGGACGACGATCTTCAAGAATCTGGAATGTTCATGAAGAACATCATATCCTTCTCGATGGTCTGGAAAACAAAGCTGGAAAATTCATGGTGATCTTGATGGATGTTGAAGATATGAAGAATTCCCAGTGGAATGTTGGTGGATCTACGAAGACGACGATGAATCTCTGGAAAGCTCATGATGAAGGGATGAAGCTTCTGAGAAAACCTGGCAAAATTGATGAAGACAGATGAGGATTGATGATGTTGAAGGTTGATCGGAGAAGAAGAAGATTTCTGGAAAAAATTGGGTTTTCCGGTGGGTTGCGGCGGCCGGAGACGGTTGTAGGGCAGTTAGGGTTGGCCGGAGTTGGTTGGCGGTGGCCGGGAGGATTCAGGCGCGGTGGCTACATGGCCGCCGGCCATGCAACCGGTGGTGGTTCAGGTGATGACGCGTGGCACTGTGAGTGGGAGGGATCACTGCATGGCTTCCACGTATATGGGAGATGTGGCAGATAGAGGGAGATGGAAGAAAACGCGTGGCGTGCTGATGGTGCGAAATATGGACCCCCCTTGCATTCAACACGTGGACGAGCTTTTATATGGACTGAGACTTTCTGGATTGTTCTAGAACTTGCTGGACCTTTCTGGACAAACTGAACTGAATTCTGGGGCTTTGCTGAATGGGCCTGAACGAAAAAATGAAACAAAAAACTGATAAAAAACTGCATAAAACAACTCAGCCCAATTACACTACTAACCTAAACCTAATTAACTAAACTAAACTCAATTAATTTCTATTAAACCTATATTAGTTATTATAAAAGAAAATCTCTCATTAAAGAAAAAATCTATATTATTCATTAAAGTGATTAAAAAGCTATTAAAACTATTTAAAAAACTATTTAAAATCTACAAAATCTACATTAATATCTAAAATATCTAAATTCTTATTAAACTAATTAAAAGAACATCTATTAAAAGAAAAATCTACTATTCTATAGTACCAAAATAAAATCTATAATATCTCTATATTAAAAGAAAAACTATATATTTCTATCAAAACCATTTAATATCTAATATATTCTAAAAAGATTAAAAATATATTTTCCTATTAATATTCTATTAAAATCTATTATACTCTAAAAAATGATTAAAAAATATTAAAATCCTAATAATATTCTATATGAACCTATTATCCTAAAATGATTAAAAATCTATTTAAACCCTAAAAATGGCCAATAAAATCCAGAAAAATCACAATAATTCCCAGAGGAACAAAATAAGCACCGAACGACACATAACACCGCGAGACCAGCACCAAAATAGCCGGTAAAAATAAACGGGCACCGAAATATCCCAAAAATACGATTCTACCTATCTGAACTGATTAAAAACGCCTGAGACGCGAGACGAGAGCTGTGATCCCGATAAAATCAAAACAAATGAAAATATGCACTGTATGCGATATGCAGATGCGAATGCGATTATGCGTCGAAACATCGAGCCAGATACGGGACCCGGTTGGTCAAATTTTAGGGTGCAACAAAAGGCTAACGATGTTTTCATGACTTGCACTAAGGATGACATTAAGTAGCAAGGCATATTGGCTTATTTTTGCTTGTGTGGTAGCAGTGTGAACATCTATGAGCTTGTTCCTTCTTCAATTTTTTTGTTGTATGTGTAAATGGGCTTTTCTTTTCTTATTTTTCTGAAATGGTTGTAAAATAAAAATGGACAATGGGCATATTCTTGTGATGTTTAGAAATTGTAGGTTTGAAATGAATTTGGAGATTGACAATAGATTTGGTTAAGAAAAATTGGATATGGATAAGAATGGATAAAAAAGATAACAAAATGGTTTAAATGGATATGTGGGAATTGAAGTTGGAAAATAATATGGATATTGAAAATGGAATTGGATTATGAATGAACTTTTGGACATGAACTAGACTTGAATTTGCAACTTGAAACATGAATTGAATTGAATAGAACTTGAATAGAACAAATTGGCCTTGAATACCCATTTCCTGAGAAATAGCCTCTGATGCAGGTAACTTGAAAAAGAAATAGGCTCTTGATGGTTTGACCAAAATTAGGTCAAACTTCTGTCGAATCTTGATCGCGACTGAACAACCACACTTGACTTGAAATTGTACCATCAGCCTCGACAAACATGATCTCCTATTCATGATGAGAAAAAACCCATGATCCTGAGCCAGTTGGATATAAGCTTGCCAACAAACTTGAACCCAAGGACTGATGAAACCCTAGGCCCTTGATGCCTGACTACTCTTGAAGAAAGTAAGCCTGATACTTGATGATTTGTTTCAGAGAAACTCCTGATCCCATGTCTTAGAAGACCAATTCAAAGCATGATTATAAGGTATGACCTAATGATGATGCAAATGAACGTGAAACAAAAGCCAGTCAAAGTTAGAAAAAAGAGAGGGAAAATTTTGGGGTGCTACATTGAGACCCTCATTTATGTGGAACTAGCTAAGGAAGAGGCACATGGGAAGGCTATGGAGGAAGAGAATTAAACTATAGAGCGGAATAAAACTTGGTATCTAGTCTCATTACATCTTTCCATATGGTTCCATTGCAAAGTATAAAGAAAAACTTGTTGCTAAAGGGTTTTTGCAAAATGATGGACTTTATTGCACAAGACTTTGTATTTGTTAAAAAGTACAAAATGTGTGGCACCACTATATTAGTAGGGGTGATCAGAGGCCTTACTGATTTGCTGTAGTTTAGGGCTTGCTCACAGTGATGAGAAATTCTGTTTGACGGAGTTTACAGTGATGAGATAGCAACTCACGTGAAGTGAGAAACTATGTAGCTTTAGGAGGTATATCGTGTTTATTACGATCTATCCCTTTTCAACCTTAGGGTTGAAGTATTTATAGTGACTCTTAAGTGTGGGTTACATTGTTGGTGGATCAACTTTGCTCTAACTCCACTGCTAAGGAAATGGTTAAGGGAAGACTTATTCTTCCTAGAATCATGAAGGAGACAGTTTCCTTCATTGAATGGCCCTTTGGATCAGGTAACTTAATCCAAGCACTACAAGGTGGCTTATCCACTAATTGGACTAAGGTGATAACCCTGTGGGGAACCTCTTTTAGGCTATAGGTATTAGACCTTTTATATGGACAACCATTTTTAGGTTACATGTGTTAGCCCTATAGGTTGCCTCTTTTGGGCTATAGGTGCTAGCCCTTTTATGGGTGGTCACTTTTGAGCTACAGGCGCTAGCTCTATGGGTGTCCACTTTTAGGTTACAAGTGTTAGCCCTTTCTATGAGCGCTCACTTTTGTTCTACCAAGTGTTAACTCTTTTTGTGGACAATCCTCTTTTTTGGGTGTTAGCCGTTCTTCTAATGCTAACCTTTCTTTGGGTGTTTCCACTTAGGGACCAGTAGAATTATATCGGTATAAACTTTTCTTTGGGTGTTTCCACTTAGGGACCAGTAGAATTATATCGGTATAAACTTTTTGCACTTGTTGGAATGATTGATATTGTAATGTTAATAGTAGTTATGGATAACATCATGCAATGAAGGCTTGTTTAACTTGATGTCAAGTCTACATTTCTCAATAGTTTCTTTAAGGGGGGGGGGGGGGGGGGGGGGGGGGAGAATATGTTAAACAAGTTTCATTAAAATTTGAGGAAGACAATGTCTTAAAGCTAAATTAGGCTCTTTATGGCCTAAAGCAAGCTCTAATAGTATAAAATAAGATGATTAATGAGTTCCTTAAACTCATTTGATATTCTAAGGGCATAATTGAGCATGAAACTTGAAAAGGAAGTTATTAACTCAAGAAAATATATCAATGAAATCTTGAAGAAATCAAACTCCAAATTAAGCAAAAATGAAAATCATAAAGCATTTGATTGTACTTTATACAAGAAAACGTTAGGATGCTTGAATCGTACTTTGTATTTTATACGTAATGTATGTCACGATGTAGGTGTCGTGAAAAGATTTATCGAATACCATAAAATCTCAAATATGTATAAGTAGTTAAATAAACTATGAGATATCTCCCCGACACAAATGTGTTTCTAAGACTTGGAGGCCAACGAGACAAGTTGTCTTTATTTGTGATTCAAATTGGTGTAAAGACAAAGTAGAAAGAAAAAGTAAAATAAAATATGTTTCAAACTTCAACTCTTCAATCTCATGATGATAAAAAAAAAAGTTGTTATTTTGTCATAATGTGATAGCAAATACATCTCATCATGCAATGTAGTGTGTCAAGGTGTTTACTTGCAACCCTTGTTAGGAGAAATGAATATCGAATGGAAAAGAAAAAGGGGAACTTGTGGGTGGACAATAAATCAATAAATCAACAAGCACATAGAAACCTACTTCTATTTTCTTAGAAATCAATTAACCAAGAGCAAGATCATACTCATGAAATGCTTAAATAATTACATATAATCATAAATAATAATCTTCTATCGCTCTCCCTTTTATGTATGTGTTTAACAAGTTCCAAGAATTCTTGAAAGCACATAAAAAAAAATTATTAAAACCATGAAAAATTTGTGGAGACATGCATGGTTGCTATGTCTTTGGTCCAATTTATGTGGTCCATTTCTTTTTACATGCTCAACTAACTCTAACTACTAACAACTGTTTTTTATGTGTAACTTGACAATAAAATCTGATTATATATTACTCTATTTCATTTCATCACATTCTATTGATACAAATATACCTTAAGAAAATTAGTGAAACTCAAAACCATAACCTTCAAATATAATTTTTTAACCATTAGTTCAACAACAAAGTTCTTTCTATAAAGGAATTGAATATCATTTTCACTCAAAATTTCATGAATTTCATTAATATAATGCCCAAGAAATTAATGAACAATATTTCATAAAGAACAAAAAGTATACATAAGTATATAGACTACACTTCATAAATAAATTAAGTATACATAGACTACAAATGAAAATTGTATAACATATCTATGATACACTAACTAATGCAAATAATCAATCAAATTTGCAGTTGTCTTTTCAATCTTCAAAAACTCCAAATCATTCTCAAAAGGAGTCAAATTCAAATCCAAATCCAAAAGCAAAACTCTCTTTCTACCTTTCATCTTTTGTGAAGAATCAAAACTACTATTCCCACCCCCACCACCACTACTAGAACTCATAGTATTATTAGAATTATGCATATAGTTATCTCCCTTCAAATTTGAAGCTCTATGTCTCCTCATATGACCACCTAAAGCTTGTCCTATTGCAAACTCCAATCCACAAATAGAACACTCATGAGATTTGGGTTTAGGGGGTGTATGTAGCAATTCACCATCAATATTTTCTCCCATCAACCTTGGTTTCTTATGACTTGCTCTATGGCCACCAAGTGCTTGAAATGAAGAGAATTGTCTATTACATGTTTTGCATTCAAACACACGATCATTTGAAGTGATGGTAGATGAATAAGTAGCTTCAAATTGATCACTTCCTCTAGAAAGTAACATCAAACAATTTGCCATGGTTATGCTATCAACCTCTCTTTCTCTCTTCATAGCACAAAAACTATATAAAGTTGAGATGTTTCAAGGTGTGAAAATGGTTATTCAAGTTTATGAAAATGGAAATATTGAAGTTATAAGAAACTTGAAAAGCTTGTATTTATAAAGGCTATCATATAGTTAACTTGTGAGTGTTGAAGACTTAGTTGACATTTTTGTGATAAGAATATGTAAGTGAACACGTAGGCATGCTTGTTGCATACTCTTTTTGACATACTCTAGAATACACTCTTTATTATATGGTTGGTTTCTTTTGAAAAATCAATAATCCAATTAATTTCTTTGAAAATTAATCACCTCCTAAAATTAATGTGTGGACTTTTTTATCCACTAATTTAGAGCATATTATCAACATAGTGTGGTAAGAAAAAAAAAAAAAATATATATATATATATATATATATATATATATATATATATATATATATATATATATATATATATATATATATATATATATATATATATATATAATTATATGAGAATGTTATTTTTATGTGAGAACATAAAAATAAATCTGAATTATTAAATTTTAAAATAAATAGTAAAAATTATGTGTAATTTTTTTTCTCTCTCTTCTATTAAAGAATATTATGTTAATCCTGTGGACGGTACTAAAAAAAAATTGCACAAGTAAATATTCATAAAAGAAATTGAATATTGATGATAAACATGATAGTATAATTTTTAGAAGTTATTAAAATACTCATTTAAAATGTGTGAATGAAAATGGTATTACTAACTACTATTTCTTGTAGGGACAAATGTTGGCAATAACTATTAACGTGACTTAGATTTCTTGTGAAATAAGTTAGTATGACTAAAGAAGCTGGTTTAATAAAAGCGATTAATTTGATTTCAATGAAGTTGGAAGAAACTTACTTAGGAGTTGTTTGGTGTGAAAGAGAAACGAGAGATGAAACGTAAGCATGACAGAATTGCTTAGCCAAACAAGGCAGAACAAGTCACAGCCAGGCATGTATTGGGCGGCGGCACTACTAGAAATTAGTTTGATTAATGTTGAAACTTTAGGGTAAAATTAAATATGTGTATTTTTATATAGTTTTCAAATTAAATGCAAGGATCATGTATGAAAAAGGAAGCAGCAGAGGACTTGAGTTGGAAGATGGTTCAGAAGAATCTGACCAATAAGATGTGAAACTGACTTTTATAAGATCTAGAAACCATGTGTTTGTGTTGAATAGGATTAAGAATTTAAATCAAATTAATAATACAAAGTTGAATTTGTTGATGATGATTTTATAGGTAGGAGTTGGGAAAAAGTGTGGGTATTTTTGCCACTTTTTTTAGTTTCTATTTATTACTTTGTTGGTTTCAAATTAATTAAGTGGCATTGTAGTTTTTTATTTTTGTTTAAAATGAGTTAAGAGAAAATTTATTGAAAAAGAAAGTTTTATTGTTAAGATAATTATCACATTAAAAAATATATTTGTTCTAAACTATTTATCACTTTAATTTTTTAATATTTTTTTATTTTTTATTTTTCAATTATACCCTATAATTAATACTATTAATTTATTATTTGTAACTTAATATTATGCTAATTCAAATATATCAATAATTAATAATAATAGTTTGATAAATTATTATTATCTTTTATTTCTTAAATTTTTTTTATCTATGTGAATGTGTCGATTATGGCACTTATTTTAGATATATTAAGTGTTACTCATTGTCATAGCAAAATATGACACTTATTTTAAATAATATTGTATTAAAAATATTAAGGTTAAATATACAATACTTCTGTAATGTAAGTGAGATTTCCCCCTTTCCCCTTCTAAAAGATTTTTTAATACCCTCTCGTAATATTAAGATTATCTTTGTAAGGCATTTGTTCCCATTATTTCAGCCTAGATTCCCTTAGTTTTTCAGCGTGACAATTATTTTAAAGTCAACAGGATTAAATTGGACAACATGACATATGTGCTGGACAATTTCGCTCACATTTTGTTAATTACATTATTTAATCCCCCCCGTAAAAGTTAGGGTTTCAGAAAAACTTAAATTTTGGCAAGCTGCTGTTGAAGATGAAGACTTATCTTGACTAAAGATGAACACGAAGATGAAGCTGGACGGTTGAAGACAAAAACGAAGACGAAGACTTGGACTATTGAAGACGACACTGAAGCTTATCATGTCTGGGGTAAGTTTTTTGAATTTTCTTCTTCTTTTACAATGAAAGTTTTTTTATATTAACATGATTTGCAACATTTTAATGTGAGTTTTCAACATGGGGTGCATTTATATTGGTCAAGCCGAATGACATCATTTACAGAGGGGTTATAGATACACATGTTTCAAGGAAACACATAGACAAATGGACTATAGGAAGCATTTGTAAGTTGATGAATAAGTAGGGTTATAAGGAAGGAACTTATAGGTTATGGGCGAAAATTTTGGAAATAGACGAGGATTTCTTTCAGATATCGAAGGATGATGATGCTTATTATTTTGTTGCATATGTTTGTGCAACTAATATTGATGGAGATATATTTGTGGAACATGATGTTGATGACATATAAGTGAGAGTAAGGGTTCCTAATTGTGTTAATGGGGTGACAAATGTGGAAGGAATTGATGATGAGGTGGTTGAAGGGTTAGATGATAGTGAAGATGATAGAGCTACTTCTCTTGTAGATAGATTTGATGAAGTTGATGTAACTGTACCTATAAATCAAAAGGAGGTAGTTGCTGGATTAATAGGTAGGACCAGTAAGAAAACTGAAGATGATGAATATGTTAGTGATGAATCAGATAGTTCAGATCTAGATGAATCTGGTGATGAAAAAGGGCCCAAGTTTGAAAGGTTTAGGAAAGAGAGGCTCGATAAGAACTACAAAGTTGAATGGTGTATGGAATTTAACTCTCTTGTTGACTTTAGGGAGGCAATTCGTGAGTGGTCAATTTTAAATTGTAAGGACATTACATTTGTAAAAAATAAGAGTTATATGGTAAGAGTAGAATGCAAGGCTAAATGTGGTTTTTTAGTTGTATGCTCTAAAGTGGGTCACAAACACACATAAGCTATAAAAATATTGGTGGATGCCCACACATGTCCTAGGGTTTTGAATAATAGATTTGTAAGCTCAACGTGGGTAGCCGAGGTTGTAGTCAAGAGAATGCAAATATCTAAAATAGTTAGAATCTGTGATATTCTGCAAGATATTAGACAAAATATCTCTATACGTATCAATGTTGCTAGATCATGAAAGGAAAAGTTGATAGCAAAGAATATTATTGAAGGAATGCTGACAAGTAATATACAAATCTATGGAGGTATGATGTTGAGTTAATAAGGGTTAACCTTGGGAATATTGTGAAGATCAATGTTGAACGACCATTGCCATTGATACAACCAAGGTTTGGCTCATTTTACTTATGTTTTAATGGTTGTAAGAAGAGTTTCAGAAATGGATGTAGACCATTTGTTGGATCCCAATGATTAGTACTTTCCATTGGCATTTGGTGTTGTTGAAACTGAAACAAAGGAGAGTTGGAGGTGGTTTCTACAGTTATTGATGGAAGATATTGGGCAAGAAAAAAGATATGTCTTCATCTCGGCTCAACAGAAGGTATGTCATTAACATCATGTATTTGATTCATGTATATGTTTATCATCTAATTTATAAGTTGTTCATCATTTCAGGGGTTAGTGTCTGTTTTTAAAGAAATGTTTGACACGATTGAGCATGGATTATGTTTCAGACATTTGTATGCAAATTTTAAGAAAAGGTTTGGTGGTGGAACCCTTATAAGGAATTTGATGATGGGAGCTGCTAATGCCACTTACTATCAAGGTTGGATCCAGAAGATGAATGAACTGAAGAAAATTGATGTCAAGGCATGGACTTGGTTAATGGAAGTTCCTACCAAATGTATGGACTTATGTATAATTAATAATAATAGGTTGATAAAATTACTATTCTCTTTTATTTATTAAATTCTTTTAATCTATGTGAACATGTCAATTATAACACTTATTTAGATATATTAAGAGTTACCCATTGTCATACATATGTAGAGCAAAATATAATTAACTTTCGAGTAATACACGTAATAATATTTTAAGTTTAGAATTAAATTAAAATAAATAATATTATATTAAAAATATTAGGGTTAAATATATAATACCTCTGTAATGTAAATGAGATTTCCCCTCCCCCCTAAAATATTTTTTTATCCCCTCTTGTAATACCAAGATTCTCTCTGTAAGGCTTCTGTTCCCACTATTTCGGCCCAGATTCCCTTAGCTTTTTAGCGTGGCATTTATTATAAAGCCAACTGGACTAAATTGGACAACATGACATATGTGTTGGATAACTTGGCTCACATTTTGTTAATTACATTATTTAATCCCCCTGTAAATGTTAGGGTTTTAGACAAACTCCAATTTTGGTAAGCTGCGTTGAAGATGAAGACTTATCTTGACTGAAGATGAACACGAAGACAAAGTTGGATAGTTGAAGACAAAGACGAAGACAAAGACTTGGACTGTTGAAGACGACATTGAAGTTTATCATGTCTGGGGTAAGTTTTTCGAATTTTCTTCTTTTCATCCAATGTAAGTTTTTTTGAAGTAACAGGATTTGCAACATTTTAATGTATGTTTTGACCATGGGGTGAATTTATGTTGGTAAAGATGAATGACATCATTTACAGAGGGGGTATAGATAACATGTTTCTAGGAAACACATTTACAAATGGACTATATGAAGCATTCTTAAGTTGATGAATAAGTGAGGTTATAAGGAAGGAACTTATAGGTTGTGGACGGAAATTCTGGAAATAGATGAGGATTTCTTTCAGATATCGAAGGATGATGATGCTTATTATTTTGTTACATATGCTTTTGCAACTAATGTTAATGGAGATATATTTGTGGAACATGATGTTGATGACATATAAGTGAGAGTAAAGGTTCATAATTGTGTTAATGGGGTAACAGATGTGGAAGGAATAGATGATGAGGTG